TTTTACACCATTGAAACGAACAAGCAACAAAAGTGTATCATATTGTTCGTAACAGTTATTGTCGTTTACTTGCTTCAACAACTGATAGAGAAGGTGTTTCAATTTTCCTGCCTGACACATCCCTCGTCCGCCGCGAACGACTGTACCGTACCGGTTCGCGCCGAAACGCCCAGTATCCCATAAACAGGCTCTATGAAAGGTGATAGAGAACTGCCGTCATACTCTTGCCTCAGCGTTCAGTGCGTACTGCAGCATTTTGAGCGATTAGGAATGTGTACTTATCGATCTGTCGTGCGCCATCGTAGAGAGAGCAGCGTTCCGAGCGACGAGCGACCATGAGAACACAAATATCGATCTAGCGCTTTGAGCGTGCGCCAGCGTATTCAGCGCCCTCTAAAGCTCAAAACCGCCCGCGAAAACGCACAAAACGCTGGCGTACGCTGGAAACACTCAAAACATTGATGCAAATATGAATGCAGCATTAAGGGTACGGTGTACGATCAATTAAAAGATTGTGTCGATCTTGGCGTGAATTGCATACCTTCAGTGGAAGAAGTCGTGCAATCTCTCGTCTTGCGAAAGCGCGTTGAAATGAGCGGCTAATGCCGTTTGGACTCCAGAAATTTCGTCTTCGCTCATTTTAAAAGTGGCAAGATCACCAAATCCGCTAAAAACTTGTATATAGGGGTAATTCAACATCCTGATCACGAATATGACATTCATTTTTGGCGCTGGCGCTAATGGATGACACTACGGTTACCTGCGCTCTGCTAAGGCTGAGCCCAGGAGGTAATCGTAGTGTCCTCTCTTGGCGCCAGCGCCAAGAATGAGTGTCATACTCGTAATCAGGATGTTGAATTACCCCTATATACAAGTTTTTAGTGGATTTGGTGACTTAGGCAATTTGAAAATGAGCTCGAAGACGAAATTTCTGGAGTCCAAACGGCATTAGCCATTGAAATGGCGCAAAGAGAGGAGAAACAGCTAATGGGATAGCGGGACTAATAAAGGCACCATGAATTTGAATACATATAACTCTAGTCAGCAAAATTTTGCGGATATCTTCCACGATAACCTTAATATGCCGAGCTGATGAGCGACGCCGGGCGCGAGGGACAAGTCGCCCTGCCTGGAGATTCAAATTCAAAGTTAAAGGCAGTTGGCACGATGGTTTCCCACTCGGCCTAAAATGCTAGTAGGGCGCTATGTAGTGGGGAAATGGCGAAAGAACGGAGTGAAACGGTCAAAATCCGGCGAAGAAAAACCTCCGTTCTCAGTGACTTGAAAATCGATTTCGGACGAGTTTCCCGTACGCATCTTGCCAATCACCGCTACCGAAGATACGGCTGCATATGTGTACCCATGTATGCATGCAGCATCACGGCCGCTTCATACCAATCCCTTTGCTTCATAATTTGCTCAGCAAATGAATGAATACGAGCGTCAGGAACGGTCGTCCGTTTGTGGGCGGGCGGGCGAGGAAGGCGTTTGGGACGGAATGTTGTTGCTCGATAGGGCGTTATAGGGGTACCCTCCTTGGAAAAGGCGCCACGGAGCGCCTGTCCGAGGTCACGGAATTCTGTTAAGCCAGTCGTATAAATCCTACATCTGTATAGCGATTTATCGTGCCAACTGCCTTTGAATTGACCAAAAGGGGACCCACCACCGTTGGGGACTCCACAACAGGTGAGGTCGTATTTAGTCGCTGGGAAGAGGTGGGAGGGTCGTACTTGGTCTGAGAAATTTTTTTGACAGTTGGTTTTCTTGTTTCACGGACGCTATGGAGGGGAGGGGTCGTATTTGCTAGTTGTCGTGATGGGAGGGTGTCGTATCTTGCTCGCGGTGCGTTTCGCATGTGCTATGTCTCGACAGTCGATCGTATCATCAGAGGAGGGAACTGGGGTGGTCGTATCAACCCATCTTTCAGGGAGGTCGTGCGACTCGACCAAAACCCTCTGCCCTGGACTGAAAAGGTCAAGAGCATTCGACAAAGGCGTCTCCGCGCTTGAAATCACATGAGTTTCGCTGCTGCAACCGACAATATAAAACTCAACGACGATTTGTCGCGCTCTGCTGCACTCTATACGCCGCCCGCGACTGCGCGACAAATTATGAATGTCTTGCCCGTCTCCCAAGTTTTGCCACTGTCTGGATATGTAACTAATGTTATCACCACCACTCAAGCACTCATTTCATGTGCCATTCTTACAACTAAACAACGAAACACGTGATTTAACAGAGAAGGCAAGTCATGTAAAATGAGAGGATTTCTGAGCTTCATTGTCTTGTGTCTTCTTTGTGAATGATAGAATGAAACTCGTCAAAGTCGTTTATCGCATAGACGACGTTTCGGGCTTTAAGCCCTTCTTCAGGTCTACAAACATCACATTTAAAGCCTACACCAACATCATCTAACCTTACATACATAGGCAAGAAATCCAAAGGGAAAAGAAAAACAATCAACAAATAACTGACCGGGTTCCTACGGACAACGGTGGGTCTGGGGGGAGGGGGATCCGGGAGTATGCTGCAAGATGGTCTATGATGATGTGAGAAACAGTAACACGCAACATTGACTCACCTCCCTAGCTGTCCTTTCCTTCAGAAATGGCACAGCTAGATTGGTGAAGCAGTGGTGGGATGTTGATACACTGCTATTTGTCGTCACGTATCACCCGTTATGTCACATCATCATAGACCAT